AGTCCAGGAGTTGAGGACCCTGGGACCATCAATGAAGACGGGAGGAGTGCGGGTACCCTATTCAGAGAAGCAGTGGCAGCAAAGATGGTGGCAGAGATGATGATGTGGAGAGATGGAGCACCTGGTGCCTCTGGACTCAGGGAGTTACAGGGGCTGTGTGCTGATGGCTGGGGGGCAGGCTTGCAGAGTGTACCTTTGATTGTTTAAATGGTTGTATATTACTGAGTGCTTTGGTGTTCTCCCACCCCTCTCCCCCCAAGAGAAAATAAAAAAATATAAACCCAGAGGGAATGGAAGCAAATGTTATTGAATGATGATGCATGGGTGGTGGTAGTAATGTGCCATGGAGTTGATTCCAACTCATAGCGACCCTATACAGGGTTTCTGAGGCTGAAAATCTTTATGGGAGCAGAAAGCCTCATCTGTCTCCTGAGGAACAGCTGGTAGTTTCAAACTGCTGACCCTGAGGTTAATAGCCTGATTTGTAATCACTATGCTACCAGAACTCCTTATGGAGGGGATTGTAATCATTGCAATGAAAAGAAATACAATAGAATGAATGAAAAGCTGATGTTCTCCTATATAAACTATCACTCAATGCATAATAATATCTTTAAAAAACAGAACTCAGGGCTTGCTTTCAGAAATCCTCAGAAAGGAAGAGGACCCCAAAACTGCATCCCAGTCTTTGCTGGTAAATCTTCGGGCCATGCAGAACTTCCTACAGCTACCAGAAGCTGAAAGAGACCGAATTTACCAGGACGAAAGGGAAAGGAGCCTGAATGCTGCCTCAGCTATGGGTCCTGCCCCCCTAATAAGCACACCTCCCAGCCGCCCTCCACAGGTGAAAACAGCTACTATTGCCACTGAGAGGAATGGGAAACCAGAGAAAAATACCATGAACATTAATGCTTCCATTTATGATGACATTCAGCAGGAAATGAAGCGTGCTAAAGTGTCCCAAGCACTGTTTGCAAAGGTTGCGGCAACCAAAAGCCAGGGATGGTTATGTGAGCTGTTACGCTGGAAGGAAAATCCTTCTCCAGAAAACAGGACCTTGTGGGAGAACCTCTCCATGATCCGAAGGTTCCTTAGTCTTCCTCAGCCAGAACGTGATGCCATATATGAA